AAAGCCCTGAACGTGATTGGACTCAGATTCATCCAGAGTTGCATCCAAGTCCAGCTAGATACATTCTGGAAAGTGGTACTTGACTGTGCAGACCTCGATTTGGAAATCTCGGGAGGTATTGAGTGTTCCCCGTCTCCCACGGGGAGCTGAAGCAGAGGAAACAGTCGAGCAACTGCTTCCCAAAAAACAAAGTACGGGGAGTGAACGGCGAGGGACGGGCGTGCGAATCGGCGCTGGAGCACTTGGACGTGCGCTATCGGTTCGGGAGAACCGATGCCTTTGACGCCGGATCAGGCACGCGGCTCGAACACCGGGGGAATTCACCGGAACCTTCCTAGCGATGGCTAGGTCAAACTGCTCCAAGGGAGTGGGAGGCAGGAAGGTGGAGCAGAGGTCGGGACCATGTTGAAGGATTATGTTAATGCGTAACCGATATGGCCTCACGACGCTCACGTCCCTGATGTGCAACAGATAGGAAGAGGGTGAAGTCAGCGTACGCAATAATAAGAGAGAAGGAGTGCATGAAGATTAATCAAGAAAAGTCGGGTGGAGCACGTATAACGCCACAAGCAGTATTGGAAAGACCCAGCTCACCCTACTCTTTTACTCTCCCTCTTCAGCGTAGTATCTCTCAATATCCAGTGTCGAAACCCCCCGTCAGGTAATAGGGTTCTCTTTTCTTTTCCCATTGGACTAGATAGTCGTGCAAGTAACACTGTCGCCCCCACCAAACTRAGGGATACAAGGGAAGTCRAGGGAAACGGTTTTATATCCGTCTGTAGTTTTCCATGTGGAAGACACACACGAGAATGAATCCGGTTCCTCCGCAACCGCCCCAGGGCGGTAACACAGGAGTACTACTGCAGGGAGTACAACCACCRCCAAATGATGACGCARCTAGAATTAAGACTCTCCTTGACCTCTGCTTTGACGACGGTCTTTTTCCAGAGTCTGACATTGTTTTCGGYGAAACGGAAATCGTAGGAGTCTTGACCTTAAGTGATGAGATCGATGCAGCTACGGTCAATTGGTTAAAATCCARAACAGTTATAATAGTTTTCAATGAGCCTACAACTATTTTAAGTGTAGCTCAACGAGAGCAACTCATTCGCGTTTATGAAGACGCATGGTACCAAAACCCTATGGTCAACCCTTCGCAAAAACGAGGTCCAACCCATGGCGAAGGACCAAATGTGATGTCGTATGTTGCAAGATCTGAAAGGATAGCTCAATGGATGATCAGGAAAGGCGAAAACACTATCCCTACCAGGTCAGGTGCGGTCAAGGTTTTTTTCAAACCGTGGATGACCAAACATGAACTAGACACGATGAGAGATGAAGAATTAGCTGGGAAGTTTAGAATTATTGCCCTAAGAGTACCTCTGGAAGCTATTCCGTCACTAAGATTTGCAGTTCAGAAGTTTATGGGCAGAATTCTGACGATGCACCCACCAGACCGACGTCCAGACGAGCCCCGTTTCGGCAATATTAAGATTGACTCTGTTCCTGAAGTCAGAGAGTCCTTTCTGGAATGGGTAGTGGTTAGGAAACCTACAGGAGGGCAACTCGAGATCCAGTTCGCCAACCAGGACACCCCATTTTGCAACAAATGTTTATGGTGGTTCCACGACGAATTTGATCCCCAGTTATGCCCAAAATTTAATGAACCCATGCCAGAAGACCGAAGAGGAAGAGGACGAGGAGGGAGGGGTAGAGGAGGGAGAACAGGACGGGGAGGAGGAAGAGGAAGGGGAGGGAGTGGTATAGGTCAGCCGGGACGGGGGAGAGGTAGYAACGCCGGTACAGGCCRTGGTCAGAGTGGGGAGAGACCCCTGGGCGTGAGCCAAGGCCSACAAGCAGTAAGTCAGTCAGTCCAGCCCCAGCCAGCTCAGCCCCAGCCTCACCCCCCCCCTGCAGCAAGTCTSCCTCTCCGTACAAGGAACCAGGGCTSTCACAGTGCGAGTCAAATGAGGGGAGCGATGGGAAGGCAGATGCTGAGTCAGGCGGTGAGTCAGGYGGTGGCTCCGCACGCCATGGTACCATATCAGCAACCTCCGGTGGTTCCCCTCCCACAGGTTCCTAGGATTTCATCCGGGTACGCAGCTCAGTCTGTGAATTATCAGGCAAGACAGGTGACACAGGTCCAGTTGAGACCCTATCTCCCGGGCCTCCCATTGATCCCGTACTCACTCACGGGCGAAGAGTATGGCCTAAACATGTAGTCCCAAGGGCAACAGAATCTGGTGGCTCCGTTCAGATCTGCTCAAACGCCATCAGAAGCCACCATCACCACCTCACTTCGGCCAAGAGAGGGCTACTTTAGAACCCCCTCTATCCCCCCACCTCCTTCATCAGGGCAGTCGGCTTCACTCATTCAAGATTCATCTGTAACCCTGTCCCTTCCCATGGGTAGGGTGGTACCAGGTGCAGAAGTAGGGTCTGACAATCAAGGGGAGCCCCAGGGCTTCTGGTCATTCGTTGATCCACCCCAGCAGGGGTTTCGGCAAACAGGGGAGACCACGTACAGAGAGCTGGTAGGGTTGAACCGAAGGGAAAATACCCCAGCCCAAGGCGTATCACAGTTTTCACAAGTGGAGATGATCGGGATACACTCACACTGGGAAGAAACTGCGACGCTTGCCCGGATTGCTACAGTCCGTGATAATCCAGAGTTTCTAGAAGAAACCGGGCAGAACAGGATGAGAGCCAAACTTTGATAGTGGTGGAGTCTGCGGGGGAGGTTACATTAGCCATTCCACCAGACCACTCCACACAAAGAAACAGAAATGTGATGGAGGGGCAAGGCCCGAGTGAAAGGAGGGAAGGCTTGCCGCGAGATCAAATCATGCGTGACCCAGGCACTCGCACATCAATTCAAGCACCAATCAAACAGAGAAGGGTGGAGCAGAAGGATCAAGCGAACCTACCAGGGAAGATGAGGAGGGGGAACTAGCCTACGTAGTTATTACATCGCCCACAGTCGATCAGACGTCCATCCGGGCCACAGGGAAACAAAGTTTGGACGGGGGTACTTCACAGTCAGGGGCAGAAAGCACAGTCCATTATTTAATTCCCCTTTGTTCCTCACTAGCGCCTCAAGATGTTAAAGTTATGGTAGGGAAAGTCGCTGAGTCTGATTATGTCCTCCCTTCGGTAGTGACAGACGGGTCCCCCTCGACTAAAGAAGCAATTTACACGGCAACTGCAAAGTTTGTTGCAGGGCGTTTCCCCTTCCGGCTAATCCCTTGAATCCAAACGGGCCGAAAATCACTAACTGTAGCAGAGGGGAACCATCTTCATTTTCACTTAGTCATGATTGATGCGAAGATTACTCCTGAGGTGGCAGCTAGCCTGGAGAATCAGGGATTCCAATGGATTCCCCCTTACTGGTTTGACGCCTCCAATCCGGCCAAACCGCTCTCGAAGGTGGRAATTGTTAACGGAGTTAACGCACAGTTTCTAGCCACTTTCTGCACTTCATTGCCGAATGAGAAACAACTATGGGGTCCAACATTCTGATCCCTGCTCCTAACTCCACTGGATATGGGACAGGAAGGGACTTCACAGCATCAGGGAAGAAGAAGAAAAGGAAGTAGGGGAAACCAGAATGAAGAACAGCGGGTCCAATCATCAGTCTCCCCTTCATCAAGTCAGCATGGATAAACTGAAGATAGCCACGTGGAACGTCAGAGGTCTGGGTGAAACGACGAGGAGATTTAAAAAAGCAAGAATCAAGGCCTGGATCCATCAAGTGAAAGTTAAGGTTGTCCTTTTGCAGGAGACAAAACTTGATGAACCGAAAATAGCAGCGATAGCAAGGTGGTGTAGAGGACCGCAGTGGTGGACACCAGCAGACGGTACCAGAGGGGGAACAACTATATTAATCCACAGGGATCTGGACACTCGGATCTTGGACTGTGGATGGGACATATGGGGTCAGTGGGTGTGGGTGAAGATTAGCCTCGAGGGTCAGGAGTGGGTTCTGATGTCAATGTATGTTCCGTCAATGTCGGCAGAACGCAGGTCTTTCATATCTGATCTACCGAACGTTATTCCTGACACTCAGAACCTAATCCTGGCTGGAGATTTCAACACAGTGCTCCAGCCAGGTCTGGATTCACCTGAGTATGGGCCAAGAAGAGCAGATGTGACCTTGCTGTCCCAGCTGCTGGAACAACAAGGTCTCACAGATGCCTATAGACACCTCCATCCCGAGGATCCAGGGTACACCTGGACGGCTGCTCAAGACCAGGCAAATCGAATCGCCCCACGCAGAAGGTTGGACCTTATGCTGGTAAAAGGACAAGCTTKGGAATCTCTGCTGGACATTGAAGTGGACATGGAACCGCTATCAGACCACTGGCCGGTGGTCAGTGTACTCAAGCTGAGTTCCGGGGTGAAAAGAGAACCAGGTTTCTTTCGATTGAATACAGAGAACCTCATACATGAAGGAATCCTTGACTGGTGTGGCAGACATTGGAGGGATTGGGAAAGGACCAAATCGTGGTTTGACTCAGAGGCAGAATGGGCACAGATTGGTTTCAGGATAGTGACAAGATCTCTGGACGTGTTCTCTCGCACTCTGGCCCGGGAGAGAAACAAAGAAGAACTAGAGTGTAAATGGATGGTAGAGGAAGCAGAACGCCATATTCGTAAGGATCCATATACGGACCTATATTGGGAAAGGAGGAGGGAAAGATGGATGAGGAAGTGGGAGACGCTGCAAGTGGAACAACAGGAAATCTGGGCAAAAAGAGCAGCAGAGAGAGGAATGGAGAAAACGGACCGAATGACGAAGAAAACGTTCCAGCGTTTGTGCCCAGCAAGATCACACAGCACCATCCGCGCTCTCCAACATCCGTTTAACGCAATGGCAGACCTTGCAGAGGACACGGAGTCTATGACGAGTTATGCAAGAGAGTATTTCTCTGACATCCTTACATCAAGAAGACCACCGCAAAAATCGTTGGAGGAACTTCAAGAAGAAGTCGATACCTGGCAAAACCCCACGAAGCAGTTGGCACCACACCAAAGACAGACTCTTGACAGACCTTTCACACTAGAGGAACTGAAAACTGCGGTAGCCAGCATGACAAGAGGGAAATCGCTAGGGGATGATGGACTCCCAATCGAATTCTACGAAGCTACGTGGGAGCAGGTGGGACTGATCCTGCTATCTGTCTTCAATCAAGTGCTTCATGGCGGGCTGCTCATAGAAGATATGTGTCGGGGAGTGATCACTCTCCTCTACAAGAAGGGGGACAAACAAAACGTGAGGAATTGGAGGCCGATCACGCTTCTAAATGTTTCATACAAGATTCTAGCTAAGGCCCTAGCTAGGAGATTGGCTTTGTACTTACCGGAGTTGGTCAATGCAGACCAAGATGCGTTTGTCAAAGGGAGATCGATCGCTGAGAATTTGATAGTGGCAATGGGAGCATTGGAGATAGTCAGCAAGGAGAGAAGACAAGTGGTTGTGACAATGTTTGATTTGGAAAAGGCATACGACAGAGTAAACTAGTCATTTGTCTTGGCCACATTACAATACATGAACTTCGGTGAACCTTTTTGTCGATGGGTCTCAGTCATGTACAGGACAGCCACAACGACAATATCAGTTAATGGTAAATGATCTCAGTTGTTCAGTCTCACGAGGTCGCTGCGACAAGGATGTCCGTTAGCACCGCTCCTGTTCGTGGTCCTAATTGAGGTGGTACTGAATAGACTGCGGGCAGCGCCACTTGTCAAAGGTCTCCAACTCTCTGAAGGGAAGGAAGTCCTTACCGCAGCGATAGCAGATGATCTTCTCCTAATCTCTGAAGCCACTGAGGACTCAATGGGTGAAGCAAAGTCAATCCTGAAAGACTATGCACAACTGTCAGAGGCTAGAGTCAATCGGGACAAATCATTATATTTTCTACCAGGGGAATTCGAATTGGTGGATGACTGGGCAATGAAGAGGATCAGAGAAGCAGAAGTTGAAAGATACCTAGGTGACCAGGTGTCACTCTCCAATGCTCGTCCGACCCAAGATGCAATTTTGGAAGCCAAGGTAGAAGCTAAGGTGAAACGATGCAGAGCTGGCACAGGCCTATCGCTGATGGGGAGAGCGACCATAATATCAATATCGATCTTCTCACTCATATGGCACATCGCGGCTGTTATTCTGATTTCCAGGACTACGCTCCAAAAGATCAGATGTGCAGCAGCTCATTACCTTTGGAAGCCTGAAGATAATGATCAGAGGGGTTTTATCTCTAAAGTATCCTGGGATAAAGTGACCAGGCCGAAGGAGGAGGGAGGATTGGGGATCCTGGACCCGACCAGCCAAAATCTGGCCTTGCTAGACAAATGGATTTTCAAAGCCTGCACGCAAAAGGAACAGAGAAGTTGGGTAAGCGTGGCGCAATACATTATACGGCAGGAGTTCCATCTGAGGAGAGAAGAGGATGTCTGGACAGTTCTTCAGAACACTGCAGTGCTGAATCGACGGCCAAGATCGGCCATTGGCCTGGCCTGGTGGATACCTTGGAAAAAGCTATACCCAAACAAGACTAGTCAGCCAGTAGTGAAAGAGGAGGTGTTGAGGCAACCAATTTTCGACAATCCATACCTCCAAGATGTGGGGGGGGGCAGACAGTTGTCTGTTAGGGCAGGCTCAGGTGCGTTCGGAAGAAAGTGGGTGGAAAGGGGGATCTCAAGAATAGAAGACATCTGGTTGGAAGAACAAAACGACCGGAAATCAGAAACGGAAATTCGTGACAAACTGGGTAGTCTGCAAGGAGTGGGAGAAAAACTGGCGAGGATTCAAGAAAAAATTCCAGAGAGCTGGTTAGAAATCCTGCTCGCAGAGCAGAAACCGGTTTGTGGCGCTTGGTACAAGTCTGATTCCAGAGAGGAAACGCCCCAATCGGTACTGAAAATAGAAGAACAGAAAGAGGATGGCGACTGGATGGCTTCAAGGTGGATAGTAGACCAAAGTATAAACGATCTTCAGAAACTCACCTTGCAGCGAGAAGAAACGATCCTGACCAACGCTAATATGCATAGTATCAGGGTTCTACAGGCTGAGCGAGGAGGGGGAAGGAAAAACKTTTTTTTGGTACAGGGAGGACGGGCTATACGAGAGTTGCGTATAGATCCGGGGGCATTCTGTTGGGAGTCAGTACRAGGAGAGCAGTGGAACCTGATACAATACAGTACGAAACGGGCCCGACGGTTTTTGCAACCACAAGATGTGCACATCCCTGRGATATGTGAGAGGGCGGCCAGAACGTTGAACATGGCCACCCCTCCGAGCTCGAGGGCATGGAAGGGAGTCTGGGAACAACTGCAGTTGCTTCCAAGCCTCAAGATGTCTGGGTTGTTATGGCTGCTCACCCACTYAGTTGTTCCAACGGCCAGATGGTTGATAGACAAGGGCATGATAGTTCAACCGAACTGTCGGCGATGTGGGAACAGATCAGAGGAAACTCTGATTCATTTTCTTTGGGAGTGCCCTGCATCCCAARGAATTTGGAGATGGTGGGCGGATCACTGGCAAAGACTGGGCAATGCATTGTTATGGGATCAGGACTGGGTTGTCTCAAGAAGACTCCCCCCCCTGTTTTTTAAGCRGAAGGGTTGGGGATATATGGCCCAGGCCATCAGAGSAGCAATTGCCTGAGTCATTTGGGAGGACARAAACAAGATTCTGTTCCAAAATGAATGGTCAGCTGATGGGCAGATCAAGAGCAGAATAAAGGCAATCATAAGAACGATGATACAAGTGGATTGGAAGAGGAGAGCCAACAGAGGTAGGTCACATACAGGTCGGAACTGGTTCCTGTTCACGTGGGCCAGAGGGTCACAGTTGGCTGCGGTGACAGTGGAAGGGAAACTCGTGATTTCTCGATGGTTAACAGCTGGATGAAGACGTAAGTTAAATAAGTAGACGAGGTGGGGAAGGGGAGGGGTGGGAAGGAGAGGTGGGGCGGGGGGGGGGGGGGGGGGGGGGGTGGGGCTGGGGGGGGGGACCTGGGGGGTACCTGATCCCTCGGTTGTCTATCCCGAAGAAGGGGGTATGGTTCCCGTTGGGAAATCTGGGAACAGAGAGGGGTGGGAAGTAGTGTACAACCCAAACCGCTTTAGGTTGTGGGGGGGGTCGCCTTAGACCTTAGGAATGGGGAACTTGGCATAGCTTGGGGTAATTTGGGGACTTACATACGTAGGGTGGGGTAATTTGGGGATATATGTAGGGTAGGGAATAGGTCCAAGCGGAGTTGGCAACTAGGCAGATAATTGCTCTTTTTCTTTCCTTTTCTCTGTTCTGAAGTCTGTGTAGAAGAGGATTTTGAGTCACAGTCCAGCCTGGGTAATGTAGGCTTTGATCCGGGAAAGGACCAAGCCCCCTGGTCTTATAAGTGAGTGGTATGCTGAATGGATGGCTTTCGATGTTAATGTGCTCGTCGGGTCCGACTGGTCCCGTAAAAAGCGAAACTGGCTGATGCTGCCGGGATAACTCCGGGTTGAATTGTGAGGTCCCCGGCCTCGATTCTTTCAATGTGTAACATGTAATGAGGATTTAAAAAAAAAAAAAAAAAAAAAAAAAAACAAAGCACTGCTCACGTCATTGCTTCAGGCCAAAAATGTGTCCGGATGCATGCGAACTTACTTTTCATTTTCTTTTCACCTTCTTGGCACTGCTCATTGCACAGAGCGTCCGTGCATGTTTCCACATGCACGGAAATCCAAGGGGACATATTGCAGTCTATAGGGCAGCTTTCCTTGGGTCCACTACCTTCCTCCCCCATCGCGACTCCGATCCTCCCCCGAACCCCAAAAAGTGCGGCGCGTATACGGGAAAGCCCCGCGGCCGATGTATGGGCCAGGTACTGGTGGTTTAAGCCACGACCGCGCTGACTAGGCCACACCCGTGGCTGGGCCATGGCCGAGATGTCTTGGCCACGCCCATGGCTGGGCCACGGCCGAGATGTCTAGGCCACGCCTGTGGCTGGGCCACAGCTGAGATGCCTAGGCCACGCCCGTGGCTGGGCCACGGCCGAGATGCCTAGGCCACAACCCTGAGGAAACGAGCCAAAAACAGGAGGGCCTGCTAACGGTAACTGCTCCCAGGCCAGGCCACGGTGTGGCCTAGACAGCTCGGCCGTGGCCGGCGCGGGACAAGAAAAAAAAAAAAAAAAAAAGTGGCAGGCGTAGAAAACAAAAAGTCAAGGCGGGAATACCTGTGGAGCACCTGCAGTGAAGTAAAAATTC